GGCGTTTCCCAAGCCTGAGTATAGACCCTTCTTGCGTCCAGTGTTTTCTGCCGGAATAAGTAGCTTGCCAAAGCGAGCATTCTCCTTCTCCTGACCACTGAAGGCGAAAACGGTGCGAATCCCACTGAAGACCTCCTCTGCCACGTTGGCCGCATCGGAGTAGGACTTAAGTTCCTTCTCGGCCAGCGATCCCTGGAGTCGAGCGACCACACTCGTGGCTGCGATGATGAAAGGCACACAACTGAGGACGACCAGGGTCAGCTTCCAGCCGTAGACGAAGGCGGAGACTATTCCAATCACAAAGGTCATGATCAAGAAGATCACAATCACCACCTTCTCGCCAATGCCCTCCTTGAGTTTGTCCAGGTCTCTGAAAGCAACAGAATAACCAAAGACATTTTAAAAAAATTGAAAACACAAATGTATATATCACTCAAATCAAATAGCATGGAATAATTAATTATGGTAAATCAATCTCGAGTGCCTTACCAAAAAAATGTTTACGATTGTAGTTGTGTAATCACAAACTAGCCCCATCATTAAAAATCATGTTGATTATTATAAATGAGAATGCTAATGTGATTGGGTAATCGTAATATGAATGAATGAATATTTAAGTGATATGGCTTCTGATTATAATAATATTATGTCGATTATATGGATCAAGTAACACCTGGAAGTTCAAAGTATCTGTGGGAAACTCACTCTGTCATTTTGCTGGCGAAGTTGGAGCCCGAACTGGTGTCGTACCAGGCGATATCCTGGCGCAGCATGGCCTCCAGGAAGAGCTTTCGGATGCGATCAATCTGGTTGAGGGCGATCCTATTGGCCAGGTCAATGGCGATTGTGATGAGCAGGAACATGGCGACAGATCCCACGAGACTACCAATTCCAAAGGCTGTGGCGTCATCGATGATGGCCTGTTTGTTTTCCTCGTCACTGGCATTTGTTCTGAAGGAAACATATATTATAAAAACATCCTGGATGTCCACTGTACTTTAGGGACTCACAATTGCTTGCCGCCGCCAAACATTGTGAGGGCAAAGCTGGGCGAGGAAGTGCCCACGCCCACTGTGCGGTCCACGAGCAGGGATGTGAATTCTCCATAGATGATCATGAAGTAGGGAATAAAAACTGAAGCACCGGTGGCCACCAGCAGACTGAATACGAACAGGCAGCGCTCACATGTAGTTGAGTATCTGAACTATGTAACCGAGACAGGGAAGGATAAAGAACATCCTTACATTGAACAGGTATAATCACTACTCACCAGGTCAAAGTAACTGTACTTTTTGGTTGTGCCTTCACTAAGGACCGATCCTTCCTTTGCCTGGAAGTCACCAGCCTGTGGCAACTGTGAGTCCTCCTTTTTCGCCATTGTGTGTGTTTATACCAAAGTATCTCTATAATCGCTATAGCAATAAAGAATAAGAACAAAGTAAACAATCAGTAAACCACACTTAGCGCTGGCCTGATATCTTTGAATTGGGGTCTATAATTAATTGTCTATCAATTAAAACATTTGACCACAAGAACAAATGGGTGTGTAATTTGTTTGCTGTGCCTTATCTACCGATGATTATAAAAAATCATACCACTACTACAAAAATATTATCTCAGGAAAGTTACTCAAAAGATTGTCAAATCAATTGTAAATAAAAATAAACAGTGCTTTTAAATTTAGATTTCGATTTAGTTATAAATAATTATTCAAATTATTGGTTTTTTATTATAATTCTCTTTTTACACTGATTTTTTGATTGCACTGTTAGATTAATTAAATGGAAATATATGTATCTAAACATCTTTGGAATACGTTATTAATATACCATTAAAAATATTATTCCAAATAGATGTAGCACCATTTATCACGCTAAAGTGTGTGATAATTAATGTATCTCTACGTAGTACATAAAATATTGCAAAAGTTATTAAACGCGGTGCAAAGGGCTGATTAATCAGCAAAAACAATTTTCCCGAGTCAATTTAAGGAAATTAGTTCGATTGCGCGAATAAAAAAAGCATCCATAAATTAATAAATTAGCCGCAATTGGAAAGCGAGATATTTTCTTGTTTATTGCGATTGTCAATTGTGAACGGCTAGCACCAAATACCCAAGGAAGTGGGTAATGCCCGCATCTCAGCTGCACTTAGACAGTCTTCGATTCAATCTGGTTCACTTGTTGAGAAAGTAGCACTCATTAAGGTCTCTCAATAACTCAATTAAAGTTCACTTGCTGTGCGACACTTACTTCACACGTGCCGATCTTTCGGGAACTCTTAAATTACTGATAGAACACGCGATCGGTTGAAGAATCTATATCGCTTCTTGGCCTTTCAGCACTGGGAAGTGCAGAGACGTCTGAAGCCGACGAGTGCGCGATCTGAACTGGACAACCATCCACTCGACTGGTTGCGACGACAGCTCGGTCCCAGAATCTCGGGCCTCGGGGCGGCCATAAACCCGATCGTATAACTAATCGGGATTCCCCTGGCAACCGCTTGCCACTCGGCCACCGAACGGTCAATACTGGTTCCTGGCCCTATCCTGTAGTAACCCAAATAGAGCTCTATACCTGCGCTAGCTAATGCAGATTAGACAGATTAGATAGGTGCCATTGATTCGGCGTAACCCCCAGACGTTATAGTCACCTAACCGGTATTTATTTAGTTGCATCTTTAGATGCAGAGAAGTCGTCGGACTTAAGGCCCAAACTAAACAGGCTGAGCGTAATCCATTTGCGCGCATGGTTTTCCCCTCATGAGAGGTTTTTTACGCAGAATTCGTAAGATCGGGGGACTAACCGAGAAAAAATCTGTATCTGTATCGCGTGCGAAAGCCGTGATTCATCTCGCCGCTCAGGTGTGCCGTGAATTACCTGGATGTCAAAGCGTGGTAGCGGCATTCTCACGCTTCCCAGCGACTTCCCCAATCCAAATATATTTAATCGGATTGTTTATGCGCAAGATTTCACCATTTCTGTAAGGCAATACAATTGGTCAAAGCTGAAAACTTTCCGAAGGGACCCTTTTTCAATCTAATCGTCACTTGTAAGTACTCTTATTGCCCATAGCCACAATCAAATAAATTATATGTGCTTATATCAAATAACAAACACATCCAGTGAGGTGTTTTTTGCAAGTCAGATAAGTCGAATTGTGGCCAATTTAGACAAGGTTTTTCGAATAGATAATTGCGGCATGGTCTGGTGTTTTCGACCATTTGCCATCTGCTGGTGAAATAATTGTGCTGACACTTGAAATCGACGCCATAAAAATGTTCTCTTGGTTACGGACCTAGTTCAATTCGGCAGTGTTATCTCTAGTTAACCGAAATGTTATTCTAAAAATTCGTGCATATTTATAAACGTGGGAAGTGAATGGGACAAACTCATATATCAATTTAAAGCGAAAGTGTTTCTTATGCACTCACTTGCAAACTGTTTACTTACGGTTTTAATAATGTTAATCTGACTTTTGGCTTTGTTTTTTTTCAAACCATTAATATTTAATGCGTTCCAATTATTCATATCAGCAATGCATTTTGTCTGGCAAGATCTGTTTTTATTTTTTCTTAACGTTTTGGAACTGATAGAACCTTTTAATCTTGAGTATAAAAAGTATTTTTTAAAGATTTTAGGTTCCAAAAACATTTAAACCTAAAAATAATTAATGTTTATGAGCTCGGGTGTTAACCATGTGGTGATTTTTAACTATTCTATTAAAACTGGCTATAAAATTATTTATTTATTAACCTAATAAAAATATTAGCTACATAATACGCTCTTAAAACTTTTATAAGCTGTGTTATAAAAATAAAATATTCATAGTGGACCTTCCTCTTCTGCCAGTGTACTTTCAGAAAACAAATCATGACGTCGTCGGTTAAATTTACTCTTACCTGCTCTCTCATTTTCTCCCTTCTCTTTCGTCTCGTGTTGGCGTCGACAAAAAACCAGAATCGTTTTAAAGAAATCTTGTGTTGACCAATAACGGGTAGTTGTGGGAAATGCCTGTTTGGTCTAATCATAAACCGCATATGGGTTCAAGGAAGTTTCAAACCTATGTAGTTCTTGGCTGGAAATACAGCGTTTTTAACTCCGCTCATTAAACTACCTTTTATATTCTACGTGATACAATTTTATTTTGACCTTAAGCTTCCGTACCCGTAAATCGGTTAGTCAACATCTACTAATTGTAATTTAGCGGGTAAAGCGGAAGAAATCTGGGGTTTATGGTTTTGCATATAAGATTTGTACACATTCGTCTATATGAATAATTCGTCAGTGCTTTTGGTTCAAGATAGTTGGTTTATTATGACTTTAAAGATTCTATTATCAAGCTGAAAAAAAACGGCTCAAGAATACCAAAAGTATTAACAGATTTTCGGCAATAGTAGTAAATTCTACTACTTAAACGATTACCAATATAACAATAGGGTTGTCAATTATTGTAAAGATATAATTATTTTAAATATCTTGTATATTTTATTATAAGTTTGTAAATGTCACAAGGTACATAGAAAAAACTCTGAAATTCTCATAAAGGTTTAAAAATTTTCTTAAAAATAGAACGAACATTTTTAAGTTGAAAATATTTTCAATGCATTTAAATCAAGTTGAATTCTTATCAAATAGTTGTTTAATAAACTCAATTTGACATTTCTCTTCTCACCATTTTGTTTCGATATTGGGAACGTTGAACCAAAAATGTACTAACACGTGTTTTAAGATCGAATGTTCTCAATTCAAGAACAATGTGCTTGAATTTTTCTCTCTGTGCATGCAAATCTTAAAAATACTTGCGTTATTAAGCTTCTGTAAAGATAAAAGGTTTTTAAGCCCAATCTGAAACAGACGGTTGATATCTACACGGCAGTCATTTAATAAATAATACGTAAGTACAGAACGCAAACAATTTCGTAAACAACTTAAACAGTGAATAACATATGTGTTTAGTGAAATAATAAATGTATATAGTGCATAAGTAACTCCTTGGGGTAATATATAATAAATAGTTTTATTTACTTAGTAACTTTATACAGGAAATGATTTGGTTCTAGTTAAGTTCTTTGGTAATTCCGCGGTAGCTGCACTTGGAAATTTTTAAAACTTTGGATATGTAGATAGCATTTTAAATTGATATTAAATGTAACTATTTAGTAGTTTAACAGCTTTTAAAAATATGTATAGTATAGTATCATGTCGTTGGATGGTTTCGTTGCTTTCGGTTTTCATATTAAATATGATTACATAGGTTGTCTTCAATACATCAAACGGATGGCCTGTTGTCTGTGAAAAATGTCACTCCTGACCAGGACTTCGTAGCTGCTCAGCCGGATCTCTTGACCTCCGTAAGGGATTTGTAGGCATCGGTTGTATGTTTCAATCACGCCGGGGGTGAGACTTCCACAGTAGTGACCCCGTCCAATGAAAAGCGGTTCTCCGCCAGGGGTCCTTCCGGCCACAACTGCTCCGGGTGGAACGTTTCCGTCGTAGGACGGAACCCAATGGTATTTGCCCTTGCCCACCAACATCTGGTACGTGGGCTCAACGATCTCACGGCCTCCGTGGGCTATATAGGCACATCCCCGGCTGGGAACCGCCTTTCCGGGAACATGGACACCTCGGTAATAGGCTCTGCACACCAACAACTGCTCCATGTTGCTGTCGTGACCTCCAACCACGGCATCTGGGGAGTAATAGTATCCCGGTTCAGCTGACACCCAAACGTCATAGTTGTTGCCATAGCCATAGGCATCATATGCCGGAGCACCCGCACATTCAGCCGGAGTATAGGAGGAGCATCCTGCGTCGTAAGGATTATAAGTGGAAGCTGGTGTAAATGATGGTCCTACTGGAAGGGATACTGCCGTAACCTCTGCGGGCACAAAGGAAGGTGCTGGCGCCACGGAAACTTCTGCAGGGGTGAACGATGCAGGGGGAGGTGGCATCACCAGAACTCCTCCTGCAGGCGGTGTTGGAGTGGGACGAGGCATCACCATCACACCTCCAACCGGAGGCAGTGGATCCGGTGTGGGTGTATAGGCCGGAGGCCTGTCAGTCAAGGGAAAAGGCATGGCACCCAGATCAGGATAGGGATACGGCTTGGCAGCCAGAGGAGGAGCCATCGCCGGCGGAAAAGGTGGTGGTGGTGGGGTGAGTGGGCACTTTTCCGGCTCCTCTAGTGGCGGAGGAGGAGGCAGTTGCCAACCCGGAACCACTCGACGTTCCTCCACAAGAATCTCGTAGGAATCAAGGCGACGTTCGGCTCCACGATAGGCAATGAACAGGGCGCGATGGACGGAGGAGATCTTGCCGATGATCAGGTGACCCTCGTAATGCCCACGACCTATGTACACCGGTTGATCCAGCGAAGTGCGTCCGCAGAGGACCGCGTTCTCGGGTATCACATGGTCGTAGCACTTGATCCACACCAGGTTCTGGCCGCACAGCACCTCGAAGATGTCCTTGGGCAGGGCCTCGCCCCGCTGCGAAATGAATCCCAGCTGCTTGCTGGGCACCACCTTGCAGACCAACATGTCGCCCTCGTGCTCCGCCCTGCCCACGTAAATCATGGCGCCGTCCTCATCGTTGCCGCCCACCACCGCCTCCTCGGGAAGGGAGGAGTAGGCCGAAGATTGCACCCACTTGTAGGCTGAAAAAGAAAATGAGAATGAATGAATAAAAAAACTAAAATAAATGCATTTATAACAATCATTAAAATTAAAATTATACAAGTCCATTGTATTCAGTGATATTAAAATTAACATTTTGGAACACATTTAATTATAATAAATGTTTTTAGGCAAATACATATAGTCCTCCTTGACGTAAGCATTTGTGAAAACATTTACTTATACTTCTTTGGGAAATCGGATATTCATTGATAAATTTTTAATTGATAGCTTTTTTTAATAAATGTAAGTCTGATCAATCTTCTACGAAACAAAGCGCCAAAATCTATCATATGTACACACTTATTTACACTCAGAACAAATATTTGTTTGACAAAATTTTTTAACTTAAGAAATATGGACTATAGATGGTATCAAAGATGTATATGTCATTCTGTAATATTAACTGGTAGTTAGAGGTAATAAGAAGATAGGGATATTATAAGGAAGTGACATAAAATATAAACCATCTTATCTTAGATCATAAATATTGTAAAATTCGATTGATGCAATCATTAATTAGCTAATTGATTAGGTATCAAACCTGTTTTAAAATTCGATTGATGCAATATTTATAATCAATCTTCTACGAAACAAAATATCAACTATAACAAACCTACACATGGACTGGACTAAATATAGGTATACGAAGGCAAAAGAGTAACATAAACTAAATATTAAATTGGTGTAAGCTCAAGTTGTCTGCTTAAAGTTTATAATAAGATAGGGATATTATAAGGAAGTGACATAAATTACAAACCATCTTATCTGAGGTCATAAATTTTGTACAACTCTTATGATACAATCATTATATAGGTAACTGATTAGGTGTAATACCAATCGATAAGTGTACTTGTAGATTTAGATTGCACTCTCCACATAAATACATAGGTAATACTACCAGGTAGGTGGATTTGTTAAGTTTTCAAGAGCACAAAGTGTAAACAGATTTCTTGGGTGTTGACAGTCAGTTTATTGGGTGCGATTACAGTTTGATCTGGGCTAAATGCTTATGGTATTTATAGGGATCCGTTCCGATGGGGCTTATTGTCTGCAGAGGACCTCGTACGAGTTGATGCGGATCTCCCGGCCACCGTAGGGGATGTAGAGGCATCGCTGGCTGGCGGAGATCAGACCGGGAGTCAGGCTTCCCTGGTAGTGACCTCGTCCGTAGTACAGGGGTTCTCCGTTGCGGGCGCGTCCCGTGGAAACGGCGTTATGGGGAATATGGTGGCCGGCATGGGCCCAGACATATCCTCCGCCGGTGAGCACCTCGTAGCTGGGCTTCTGGAACTCGTAGCCGCCGAAGCAGACGTAGGCGGTTCCCTTGCTCGGCACCACCTTGGCGGGCAGCATTTCGCCCTCGTGCATCGCCCTTCCGGCGTAGATGGGTGTACGGTCGGAGTCGTGTCCGGCGATCACAGCTCCCGGGGGCGTATAGCTGGGAGAGGCAGCCACCCACATGTCATGCTGCTGCTTGATGAGCACCTCGTAGGTGTTGATGCGCACCTCCTGACCGCCAAAGGGCACGTACAGGCAGCCGTGCGAGGGATGAACCTTGCCCACCGACAAGCTGCCCGCATGATGTCCTCGTCCCACGTAGAGGGGCTCTCCTGTGCGGGTCGTGCCACTCCTCACCGCATTCGGGGGCACTCCGCCACTGGCGCTGGGCACCCAGGCGAATCCCTGGCCCACCAGCACCTCGTAGTGGGTCTTCTGGTGCTCCGCACCGCCGTAGGCCACGTAGGCGCAGCCCTTGCTCGGAACGACCTTGGCCGGAAGGTTCTCGCCCTCGTGAAAGGACCGACCCACATAGATGGGCGTGCGGTCCGAGTCGTGGCCACCGATCACCGCGTAGGGGGGCAGGGGGGAGTGGGGAGACGAGTGCACCCAGGTGTTTTCTGCAAGGAGAGAGGCGGTAAGGCGATAAGCTTGGCACCACGCGATAAGATAACCTATCCATACACAGAGAGAAAGCTGCGAGTATAGCTGGTAAAGGTATCCAATACTCAAAACTAATTTAGGTAGTTGGCAAAAAATTGGCTTGGGTTTTTTAAATATATCTGTTATTAACTAGTTAAGATACTAATTTTTCTGGTTGTTAGTTTGCTTTATATTCGCTAGTTATTCTTATTTATCTGTTTGTCAAGTTCGACTAAAAGTATGCAAGAAGATTTTACTTGAGACGGTATCAAAAGCTAAACATTTAACGTCATCTTACAATCATTGTTTAATTAAAAGAGGATAAAAAGTACATATATGAGATTGAATTACCAGATATCACTTAAATGATTCATTGGAACTCATACTCTGCTAGGTTTTTCTCTGTGTAGATATTTGGCTTGCTGTTCGATTTTTTGGTTTGGGTGGTCTGGGGCGGGGATCAAGTGGGATTTGGGGGTTCACAGAGGCGTAGGGTTGCACCCTGGGCTCACTGCACTCGTCCTACCAACGGTCACAATTGCTCCTGGCTGCACGGCGCCTGGAAGAGTGCAAAGAAAGGCGGAGAACCGTAAAAGTCACTCAATGCTCTTTGCATGGGGGGAGGGGGTTTGGTGTCTAATGCACAGAGAAAAAATAACAAGGCCACCACAATTGGTCAGAAATTGTGTATTTTTTCGCCCGTAAATAGGGTTTTTTTGCACACACACCAGTACGAAGAAATGAAAAATAATCTTATCATATGTGTTATGATGTGCATTTATGAAGTTTTTAAAATTTCTGGAAGCATTTTTAGATATTTTTAAGTAATCGTTTCGTTTTCTTTTGGCTTTGAACCTTTTATAAACACACTTGTTTCAAAATATCTACATGGTAACTCCATTTTTGCTGATAAATATTTAAAGTAATAATTTTGATTTCATTTGTTTTATAACCTTTTATAAACACACTGGTTTCCAAATCTCTATATGCTTCGCCACCTCGTTCGGACTAACTTTATTTTTGCAGGTGAATATTACGATTTGTGAGATTCTTTTTCGCATTTCAGCGCTTACTCATTCGACTTACCCATTGTGTGTAATTTAAAGATAAGGGGTTATTCCTCCTGGTAAATTGTATTATATTTATATTCGCTTCCTTTTTCTCCACGAAGCGTCTGCACAGACTGAGGTTGGCCTTTTCACTAAAACGTTGGGTCGCAGTAGCCTGGCGTTTAAAAACAGACCCAGACCGATTTGTCACCGCCTCTTATCGGCGAGCTTTTATCTATCAATTCGTATTTGTATTGAAAAACAAGTGCAATTGATATTGGGGTCTATGATATCTCTGTTATTTACTTCCAGTCTCGAAAGCTCTATTTCCAGAAAAGCATTCCCTTTATCGATTGAGAATGATTCATTACCCCAAACAGGCGGTTCTTTTTGAGGCAAGGAAAGCGAAACATGTGGACATTGTTGCTGTTGATGTTGTTGTTGGCCCTCAACAGGTGGAACCCCAATTTAATGAACCTATAAACAACATGACGCCTACCAGAAGCGCCGAAAAATCCCCCCGGTAAAGTGTCGATAAGAGGTACCCAAAATATCAATACCATAGGAAAATACTTTCTGACCGAAGGATTGTATTAAGGAATCTCATGAATTTTGTATGGTATGGTCTACAATACTAACTAAAGGTTTAAGGGTTTTGTTAAAAAATTTCAGTAAAATTAATAGGACTTATATATGTAATTCATAATTTATCTTAAGACTGTATATGTTTTTGGATTTTAAGCCCTGTTTTTGTTTTTTCTGTGTAGATATTGACTTTTCCAATTATTATTTTCTTTATGTTTAAGGGCAATAACCTCTTTGTAATACTTATGAAACGGATTGCTTATAATTAAATTACTTTTTTTAAAATTTAATTTACAACTATTTATAAATCTGAGTCAATATGGCGCTGAAGATTGTAAAACGGAAAAGTTCTTTAGCAATTGACTCATTTCGTAAGGAAAAGGAGAGTCTTTTTTTGCAACAGATGCACATAAAACTAAAAGTCAGCTGATTTCTGACTAGTAAAACCAATATCGATTCATAATCCAAATAACTGCCGACATATTTGGACTTATTTTTGTTCTAGAAGTAAATTCCTTCACTTTAAAGTTGATCCATGGACAGCAACATACGTGTACATATACTTTTTTACGAACTTATTGATCAAGTTTATTTTTGACTGCCGGCGATAAGATTCGTAGGCAACTGCTTATAGATAAAACCAGCAAGGTGTACACAGAGCACAAATATATGTATAAGATCGATTGAGTAATTGTCGTTGCCCTTCCTGTTTAACACGAAATTTAAATTGTTTTGGCCAGGCTAAATCAACCAAACGCCTGTTCGACACACCTGTCAGTTGGTTGCAATGACGAACCCCCCTTAAAATGTGAGGATCCCTATGTGAAACCCACATACATGTACTCATAGTCCAAGCCAGTGTGACTAAGATATCTTATCAAAGTCGGTTAACACTGTCGACTGATAAGAAGGCACAACAGCTTTTAAAGCGCAACCGATGCGGAGCTGGAGAACAGTCGTTAAAGTCAACCCGAACAGAGCGGAGCCACCGAGTTTATATCACTACGTTCCAGACCTAAATCAACCAGGAAACACACACACAAAAAACAACATGGGAGGTGAGAAACTAAGTGAAAAGTAGTTCGTGACTAAGATTATTCCTGCGAAAACTGAGTGCCATAATTAGCCAAGTGTCATAGTGGCCAAGGTGTCATCGATACTCCGCTCACCTGACAACCGAAATCCCTTGGAGCTTTGGGAGCTTTCCATAGATCCGGCGATATCACCCCCGGCTAGATAACGAAATAGACAGAGTGGGTCTTATTATGGGGTACAGTTGGGCCTCCTAGTTGAGCTAACTTATAGTGAAATCTAACCTTGTTCCAAATATTCCACTTGCTTGCAGACTACACCTGGATTAGCACCAACGTTTACGGAGCCCTGCCACCTGGCGCCATCCTTGCTGGCCACGATTCCGACCAGGATCCCATCTATGTGGGTCGTGCCTACCACAATGGCGAGATGCTGCCGGCGAAGGTGGTGCCCGGCAAGCAGCAGGCCTACGTTCCCTGGGGCGGCGAGGAGATCAGCAAGCACGACTTCGAGGTCCTCGTCGGTGACCATTACTCCTGGATCCCGGCCAGCGGTGGCTTCGTCCCGCCCCACGCCATCCGTGTGGGCCAGACCGGCGAGGGTGAGCCCCTGTACGTGGGTCGTGGCTACTTCCAGGGCAGCCTCACGCCCGGCAAGGTGCATCCCTCGCACCAGTGCCTGTACATCCCCTACGGCGGACAGGAGGTAGGTTCAACCCTTACTTTAATCAGTGGCCGTCAGCAGAAGCAGCGCAAACGGCCCGCGGGATAGAAAATGGCTCTGCTGACGCTCTGCCACCGCTCTGCCTATATGTTACATACTGTATGAAACAGCGGGCGGCACTCACACTTCTACAATTTTAAGCATTTCATTGCTTCTGCTGCTGTTGACGACCTCTGCTTTGAATTTTAAACCTATTTCTTGTTGGACTATTTAGTTGCGATTTCATATATCATTGCTTTTCGACTACTTCTGCTACTACTTCTTTTTCATATTTCTTTATTGCCTAGATTTGATGAGCAATATTATTCTCTTTAATCCTTGTTAATAACTTTACATTTTAATTTTCATATATATGAATACCTTACTTTTACGATCCTTAAAATATAACGACTCCTTTGTAATTTCAGCACCGCCTGGAGGCCTATGAAGTGCTGGTCCAGCCGGAAACTTGGGTGGCCTCTTCCGGACGCAACATTGTGCCCGGAACAGTGATTGGCGGTCACGACTCTGATGGTGATCAGATCTATGTGGGTCGCGCCTTCCACGAAGGCGATTTGCTGCCAGCCAAGGTAAGTGGCTTAAATGCCAAGGCTTAAAGTCCTGTAAAATACATAAATATCCTCTTTTATCCACCAGGTGATTCCCAGCAAGGGCTGTGCCTATGTCCCCTATGGAGGCGGTGAGGTGGTGAAGTACGACTACGAACTGCTGGCCGGCTACGGATACGGTTGGGTACACGACAGCCACGGCAATGTGCCCGGCAACGCCGTGCTCTGCGGTCGCACTTCCGAGGGAGAGCCCCTGTTCATCGGCCGCGCCCACCACCACGGAAGCCTGACCCCCGGAAAGATCCACCAGTCGCACCACTGCCTCTACATCCCCTTCGGCGGCGAGGAGGTCCGTCTAGACCACTACGAGGTCTTGGTCAAGGGCTAAGCTGCCCCGCTTCGTATTCCCCAGTTTCGTCTGCCTACTAATTTATAGCTCATCTTGTTTCATAAAAAATTTCTCCACACTGAGCCTCTTTGTCGGCATTTTTCAAGGGAAAAGGTCATTGTGTTTATTATATAAATAATAATGATTTACTCTTGGTCATGGAATTTTTAAATGCTGCTCAGTCTTAACTTTAAACTAAATAGATAGTTTTTATCGTTGTCAACTTGTTCTAAATACCTCGAAAGTTTTTTACCAACAAAAAATACCTTCCGGTAATTCGATAGCTTCCAAAGCCAACAATAAGGACATCATGTACTCTTTACCTGCATTCAGCTGATTGATATCTATTGAAAGGATTGGTAATAGCTTTCGGTGCTCACGTATATGACGTAAACAACGAAAGCCACAGTCTCCGCCAGTTTCATCTAGTTGCCAGAACGTATATGTGACACTTGCCTTGGACTGCCTTATAGGAATTGGATTTCCCGGTGGCAAGACCAACATGTTGGTTTATGTAGGCTTCGGAATTAACTAACAGAGCAGGCTTTACGTTTTTGGGGGGCGGTATTAGGAGGTATTAGCTTTCCGGTCTGCACGGCGGCAAAGCTGACCTTCCAGGTCTCCTTTGGTTGAGAACGACCAGCAGCTGCCGCTGCTTCTATTGAAGCTCTGATGACTGACGGGGGTCACTGCGCCCCTTAACCTACGGTCTACCCTTTTGGAAAGTTTCGCGTAATTAGGCGAGATGAAGGTCGAGCAACTGAAACAAAAATACTAAATTAATAATTGGTAGGGTATATACAAATATATACTAATATATTAAATCAAAGCTTAACAGCTATTTTCAGATGAAGCTTACCGCATCAGCTCGTCCTTCATGTCATCAAAGTTGTAGTTTAAAATTGTGGTTTAACTCAGTATTGAGCAAGTCGATAAACTGGTTTCTGCCAACCAAAGGAGTCCTGTCTGGACCTTATTCTTCTGGAACACCTTATAGCTCCTCGGCCTAATCCGCGCAGTTCTTACAATGATTTAGCGTGTAATCATCCCTGACAGTTATTGTTATTCTTGTTGCACAGTTAAATTACGCGAGTATAAAAACAAGAAGAAATATTAAATTAAAGATTTATATTTGGGGTACTGTAAAAAAGTGTAGGGGCACCAAGTGGGGAATAAAGGGCTACAAAAGGATGATATGCAATATGAAAAACTATTGGGGTATTCATTTCCAAGCCAGGCACTCTGTGCTTAAACCGAAATATTTATATTATTCCATTATGTCAGAAACTGCCATAAAATAGTTTTACTTAATAAATTTGTAACATCCATATGGAATTGAGGCAGTTTTTTTCGACCAAAAACAGTATTCAAAGTCTTAGTTCCGTTAACACCCTGAGTTATGCTTCACTTTGTAGAGCTTTTTCTGAGCTTTCCGATAATTCTCTACATGGGGTGTAGATGCCATGTAAAGATATACCCCGAGGGCCGAATATGTATCTGTTCGTTTTTTCCATGGTGCACACTGTCGCCTTCTCTCGCTCTCGCACACGCTTTCCCTCTTACTCGCGTTCGCATTCGGTGCTCGACTGCCATTGGTCGGAAAAGAGCAGCTCTTTTCATTGGGTTGCTGGAAAGCAGGCCCCTCCTCAATCGTGCAACACAATTGGCCTGGCCTTCTGTGGCGTGGCAAGTTCTTCGGCTTGGTGGACGTGGCCAACTGAATGTGGCAAGTTACCAAGACGAGGCGGTATCTATTTTGTCAAATTAATTACATTGCATTACGTAATAAACTTTGTGATTGTTTTTGAGAATATTAGGAAAGTTTAAGACGCATTTTTATTGTTGTTCAT